AATGTTGAAAAGCATAGGGGACAAAATTGCTCCCTGAGGGACACCAGAGCGACAGTCCCCAGCTCCACCATCTGGAACGTGCCCGAGAGGTAGGACCGGAACCACTGCAGAGCAGTGCCCCCGATAACCAGCTCCCTCAGGCGGTCCAGAAGGATACCATGGTCAATGGTATCGAAAGCCGCTGAGATGTCCAAGAGCACTAACAGGGACACGCTTCCCCTGTCCATGCCCAGACGGAGGTCATCAACTAAGGCGACCATGGCAGTCTCAACTCCATAGCCCGCCCGGAAGGCGGTTTGAAATGGGTCCAGAAAATCGGTGTCATCCAAGATCGATTGAAGCTGGAAAGCGACTGCTCTCTCGATCACCTTCCATTAAATAGCTAAGACTGTTCAAAAATTAGGGAATCCTCATGCCTTAAATACATATTCCTTGTGTCTGATGTATTTAAAATTGGCAATCTTGTTAAACATGTTTTATAGAAATAACTGGCATTTGGAAAATATAAGGGAATCAAGTATCAGAAGTGCTTGTATGATACTTTCATATACTTGTTGTGTGTCATTATTTCAGTTCAAGTAAAATAAATCAGAATCAATTAGAATAAAGATTCTGATTGGTAATGGCCTGCTGTTTTGTTTTAGTGAATAAGAAGCTTACCAATATCATCAATATCTGCTCATTGTGGGTTTAGCCCTGTTGTGGATTTGTGGTTTCTAAGCGCCTTACTGTCAATCCTTGATTCACATGTTATGGATTAGAATATATGTTGTATGTTAAAAGACTGAGCGTACCCTGTTATTTGAAGTATGTCAGTTGGGCATGGCTCCCATTGTGTGTGTTTGGTAAACAGTTAACAATGAAATGATAATATCTTAGGCATTGTGTTCTATCCAAGATACTTCTGTTAGTTGTTTCAGATATTAATATAGGTTTACGTGTACTTTTGTGAGTTCAGTGCAATTTGCAATATGAATTCCTTCAAGAGTAGTTTAATTTGTAGCATGTCCTTGTCCACCTGTAGTAATGTTCATTGTTTGAAAGAGCTGGCAAGAGGTTGAATGAAAGGTTAAAACATAAATGGTTCATTTTATTTGTATCATGCCTTTCCCCCAAGATTGAAAACATACAGTTCAAATGACACATAGGCTGTACTGCCAACATTCCTCTTCTTCTGGTGTCTGATGGCAGCATCAAAATGCTACCAAGGTCCTATGCATTTTTAGCCAAGCGTGAATATAATGGCAACATAGTCAAACCTGATCTCTCAGTCATACAACGGATACCATGGCTTTCAGTCCATCCCTTCAGCAGTGCTTGAATAACTCCCCATCCATGAGTCAAAAATGAGAGATGGAGGTTGTGTGTGCTTGTGGAGTGATTGGCTGCACTAGGCAATCTCTGACAAAAGACTATTGCTTGAAGAATGAGTTTGACATATGCCATGTTTTGGGTCATGCTTAGATACAAAGGAAGCTGCTGTATACTGCAGCCAGAATGCTGTAGTTCGATCCTGCAGGTCTCCAGGTTGACTCACCCTTCCATCTTTTCTTAGGTCAGTAAAATGAGTGCCCAGCTTATTGGAGGCAGTTGGCTGACACATTGTAAATAGCTTAGAGAGTGCTTAGCACTACAAAGTGATATAGAAATGTAAGTGCTATTACTATAGTGCTATATCCCATCAGTCTTATTGGCCCATTAGGTTCACTATCTAGCAAAAGCAAGCTATCCAGAGTTTTAAACATGGGGCTTTCCCAGCCATAACTAGAGAGGCCATAAACCTTGTGTACAAAGCATGTGTTCTCCCCCAATATATTGTGATTCCTTGATTAAACCATGCAGTGTGAAGTCTGTAAAAATTTTTCTTCAGCTTCATTTTACAGTATTTACAGTAAATAAAAATTATGTATAAGGGCAACAGTTAATGGAAAGTTTCCTGTTCTGTAGTTTTTTGTGGGTTTTTCGGGCTGTGTGACCATGTTCTAGAAGAGTTTCTTTCTGATGTTTCGCCAGCATCTGTGGCTGGCATCTTCAGAGAATGCTGTAATGGAAGAGAGTGGGTATATATATACTGTGAGACCCTGGGTAGGTAAGAGTGATTTCCATGTAAACTGTGTATTGTTCTGTTGTTGATTGTGTATTGTTCTGGTTGATGACAGGGCCTCAGGGTAGGAGGATATGCAAACGAGGACTGTTGTCTGGTAATTGGTGTGGGTGGTTTCTCATTTGCATTTGCTAAGTGCTGATTTTCCTATTTTGCAGGACTGGTAGCCAAACTTTGTTTAATTTTAGGGTTTCTTCTGTCCTATTGAAGTTATCCAAGTGTTTGTGGATTTCAGTGGCTTCCCTGTACATTCTGACCTGATAGTT